TGCAGGACTACCTCGGGATCTCTGTGGACTGAAGGCTGGCTCCCAAGCTACTGCTGATGTCCCTGTACTGCTCCGGTATCTGCACAGAGTGCAGAGTGTAGCATCAGCACAACCGACCCCATGTGCTGGTAAGTGCCTGGCCTAACCCTACCGAGGTAGTGACGAGGCTAGGACTAGACTCCAGATAAACCTGTGCAGTTATATATATATATATATACAGCAAAAAATAAACTAGAACAAATAAATAAAAGCTGGGAAGGGGAAACATGCTTCGGGGAATAACAGATAAAACAGAATCACAAGAGAATTATCAAGAACCAAAAATTCAACTCCTATCGAAGATAAGGAAAACAAAGGCAATTTACACTTTCAGTTCACATCTCGTTGTAGGCGTGCAACCCGATCCCATTTCTCATATCTCGTGGTAGGCGTACCACCCGCTCCCATTTCATCATATCTCGTGGTAGGCGTACCACCCGATCCCATTTCATCATATCTCGAGGTAGGCGTACCACCCGATCCCATTTCATCATATCTCGTGGTAGGCATACCACCCGATCCCATTTCATCATATCTCGTGGTAGGCATACCACCCGATCCCATTTCATCAATTATCTCTTGTGATAGGCGTACCACCCGATCCCATTCACTAGCCAACACAAAATCACAAGGAGTCCCGGCAAGGGAAACAAAGCAATATAATAACTTCCCGGCAAGGGAACAACAATATCAAGTCAAACATCTCAGCAAGGGAGAATCATCTATAAGCAATCTTAGTTCAATTTCTACTCATCTCAGCTAACAAATACCTAGCCATAAGTACTTTCCACGAAACAAACTCAATTCTTACTCAAGATCGAGAACTATCAAATTAAAGCATTCGTAGTATCATTCAAGAATATAACAATTTGCAATTTAAGACTCACGGTCATGCTCGACACCAACGTATAGATACTCGTCACCATGCCTATACGTCGTACTCAACAAGAAACAAATAGAAAATAGGACTCAATTCCTAATCCCTCAAGCTATGGTTAGACCGGACACTTACCTCAAACTTCCACGGCCAACTCAAGCCTCAAATACCGCCTTTCCTTTCGAATTTGGCTCCAACACAATCGTATCTATGCATAATCGATTTAATAACATCAATAAATGCTAAACAATCCGATTCCAATGATTAATTATAGCTTTTTAATCATTCTTCCCAGAAACCCAAAATTGACCCCGGGCCCGCTTGGTCAAAATACGAGGTTCGGACCAAAACCCGATCACCCATTCACCCACGAGCCCGAATATATTATTTGTTTTGAAATCCGACCCCAAAACGAGGTCAAATTCCCAAATAATTAGAAAAGCCCTAACTCTACCCATTTTCCCAATTTTCTACCATTAAAACCCTAAGATTATTGATAAAAGTTGATGAAAAATATTAGGTAATTGAAAGAAATCAGTTAGTGAGTGCTTACTTGTGATTTGGGAAGAAAATCTCTTGAGAAAATCGCCCTAGCCCATCTAATTTTTGTGAAAATTTGAAAGAAAATTGCTGAAGTTATGTTTTTAAAAAGGACTCACTGCCCGACTTCCGCATCTGCGGTTCAGGGGTCGCATTTGCGCCACCGCACGTGCGGAAAAGTGGGCACTTCTGCGAAAATGGCTAGGCCCCGTTGGGGCCGCACCTGCGAGAAAAGGCCCGCTCCTGCGGAACCGCATCTGCGGAAAAATGTCCGCATCTGCGAAGATAGACCGCATCTGCGACCCACTGTGCACACCTGCGTGTCCGCATCTGCGGCCAAAGGACCGCAGGTGCGGTTACACCAGAACTGGTGCAACAGCAGTGTTTCTGCAACTTTTCTTAAGTTCAAAACTTCCCGAAACACATCCGAAACACACCCGAGCCCTCGAGGCTCCTAACCAAACACACGTACTAACTCAACAACATCATACGAACTTATCCATGCGATCAAATCGCCAAAATAACCTCTCAAACAACGAATTAAACCTCAAAATCAAAGAATTTTTCTCAAACTTCATAAAGCATCAAATTTTCTATTTTAAGTCCGAATCACGTCAAACGGATTCCGTTTTTCACCAAATTTCACAGAATCATCTTAAATCATATATAAGACCTGTACCGGGCGCCGGAACCAAAATACGGGCCCGATACCAACATGTTCTAATCAAACTTCATTTCAAAATCCTTTAAATAATTTCAGAAAATAATTTTCTTTAAAAATTTATTTCTCGGGCTTGGGACCTCGAAATTCGATTCCGGTCATACGCCCTATTTTCCTATGAACCCTCCGGGACCGTCAAATCACGAGTCCGGGTCCGTTTACCAAAAATATTGACCAAAGTCAAATTAATTCATTTTATAGCCAAAATTTATCATTTTTCACAGATTTTCTCATTTAAGCTTTCCGGCTACACGCCCGGAATGCGCACGCAAAATCGAGGTGAAGATAAAAGAGGTTTTCAAGGCCTCGGAATTGCAGAATTAAATTTAAAAGCAAGTGATGACCTTTTGGGTCATCACAGCATCACTTGATATTTCTGACAGAAGTCGAGAATAACCGGGTCTATCGCTGGGGAAGAAGGGTCTGAAGAATCGACGCGACCCAAAGTGAATGGGTACGTATATACATGAAGAAAGCTAGCCTTGTGGTCCATTATGTTCTCATTAGAACGGGGAATCTCAACCAGCACTGACCTTTTCCATCGGCAGTCTTCTTGCACTTTTTGTATATTAGTCACAACGCTAATATACCGGGACACGTGTTCGCATCGGCCCGGCGTAGGTGAGGGTCTCTCGTTAGAAAAATCGTTCACAGTATCAAACTCGGTGGGGGTACACTGTTCAACGGTGGGGGACACTTTGGGTTTGCCCTTGGATGTTCGAGACGAAGAGGCAACACCCTCTTTTCGAGGCACTGTTTTAGAGGTTCTAGCCATGGTGGTGGAAAGGTCTTTCTGAGAAAGGAAGTGAGGAACCAAGGATGGAAGAAAGGAGAGTATGAAAAGGGATGACCTTGGCTCTGAAAGTTTGAAGATGTTGCAAAAGTGTGAATCACTAAACGATTGAGGTAGTTATAGAAGCCATATGGGCAGCGGAAAGGACGAACCAATAGCGATTCGTGGGCTTCTCGATAGTCGTGTTGACAACGACCCTTGCACGTTTTTTTGAGTTATGGCATTTAATGCTCTGATAGGCTGACGTCATGATGGTAGTGCCTAAGAAGTAGGAGTTCAAAACCGTTTCCTGTCATTTTATTCTAGGAAACGCAGGGACTATCTGTATACGGTAAAAATAAGTGGTCCGATTTTATGATCACTAAGGCGCCTCGTAAAGACCGCCCCCAAAAGGCTCGAAGTTTGGCTCGGGTTTCGACCCCGAGGGTTCTCAACGATCGACCTCGAGGCAGTGCAAACCAACGGCTACGATTCATTAGCGAGAAGTTCCCAAGGCATATGAATAAAGCTGACCAAGTCTAATAGGCTAGCTCAGGCCCGTACCAAAGCATTGAATGGCTGTACCAACTCCATATCTTTGTAATAAATGCATTTGTACTATGTTAGGATTCCCCCTCATCTATAAAGGGGACCTTTGTCATTTTGTCAAGGGGATATAGAACACACATTATTAAATACAAGAACATTCTATGCTCTCTAACTCAAACATATTCTCCTGATTTCATTATTTACATTTATTGCTTATATTTATTACATTTAATTACTTGTTCTTCATTTATTGCTCATTATTGGTCATAAAGAGCCACCATCAAGTTTATCATAACTGTTAATCCTCCATCAACTGACCTAAGCCGGACACCCGGCTCGACCTCGAGGCCCTGTATACGCAAGCTCGAGGTCCCGATTTCCAGCCATTCGGTTTGATTATCACATCGTCTACAAGCTATTATCTTATTTTCTAATCTCTCACTTAGCATCTATTGCCTAACAACTAGCATAAAAATATATCACATATTTTTAGAACCACAAAATCAAATTTAATTGTTGTTACCATTTTCAAGGTAAACAATTGAGTCAAATATTACAGGGACTAAAGGCGCAATTAAGTAATAATGCAGAGACGAAAACGACCATTTTCCCAAGCAATGAATAAGTGAAAATTCTAATAAATGCAAAAAGTTAAATACCTTTCTTGGCCTTTGAATCATATGAAAACTTCATGAGATAATATTTGACTTCTTGCTTTTGTTTGGAGGAGAATTCTTCTTTCTTTTGGTTTAATTCGTTTTATGTTTAAAGTATATCGGTAATCAATTTTAAGTAAGACTTCATAATTTTCACCGGATGGACTGTTTCAATATCATAAAGTTAAAATTATATTTATATCTTTTAGGATACCTCTTTAATTAGTATTATATATTAATTTTTTACTATAAAAATTCTAACAAGAATTACTTATTTATATGTTGATTCTCTTTTTACGAAAAGGAGCGAATGAGATGTTTAATAGTCCGTTTGGCCAAGCTGCAAAAATCAGTTTATTTTGAGAAGTGCTTTTTTTCAAAAGTGCTTTTCTCAAAAGTACTTTTGGTTGAGAAGCAATTTGTGTTTGGCTAATTAGTTTGAAAAGCACTTCTGAGAAACAATTAGTGTTTGGCCAAGCTTTAAAAAACTGCTTCTAAGTGTATTTTTCTCAAAAGTGCTTATCAAAAAAGTGCTTTTGGAGAGAAGCTACTTTTTTCTGCTTCTCCAAACTGCTTTTGCTTCTCCTTAAAAGCACTTTTTTTCCTTCCAAAAGCTTGACCAAACACTTCAATTTTCGGCCAAAAGTGCTTTTGGCAAAAAAAAACATTTTTGGGTAAAAAGAAACTTGACCAAACAGGCTATAAGTTTTAGGAGTAATTTTCTTGCTATTTCAACTGTGGACTAAACCTGTCAGGTATTTCAAAGTTTAAGGATAGTTTCTGTAAACGTGTATACTTGAGGATGTTTGCCTTAAAAACAGTCCGACCCGCTCCTTTATTTGATCAAAGTATATACCAGTAAACTGGTGCGTTTGATGCAATTTTGGTAGGAAGAAAATGGAAGGACGCAATGACGACGAAGAAGGTGGAAGCAGCGCCATATTTTCTGAACTCAAACATTACTGCATAGAACTACTGGAACTCCGCTTAAACCCTAAGAAAAACTCCTCAACTCTCTCTCATCTGCTTCAACTTCTTCGCCGCTCCTCTCCTGTTTCTCTCCAGCCCTTCTTCGAGTATGTTCCTTTCTATTTAATCAACTTTTTTCCCCCCTGCTATCTCAATCCTTAAATTTTACTATGTAAGTTAACTTTTTTGGATTAAGTTTTATTTCGTGAAGATACAAAGAATTCTTACACTATTAGTTCAATTTAACTGATTATAGCAGGTTATCACTCTATTTTCCAGGGTACCATACTGAGTTACCTATTGTTATTGGTCAATTTTACTTGATAGTTTAAAACGCTTATACACTGTCAGAGCACAAAACTTATAACTCAATTTTATTTTATAAACGTGGTGTCTGGGTCAGCTTGCCCGAACCTGGATACCTGCTATCTTACACCAGCACATGTATCAGGTAACTGGCTTGAACAGCTAGGAAGAAATCACCTAATCTTTTTTCCCTGACAACTTATGGTTCTCAGCTCACCTCATTGATCACTAGGTTACACCCTTGGGTGCACTTAAAATGGATGTGTGTTATCCATTTCTGTCTCATGTTGTTACATAAGAAAAGAAAAGGAAGAAAAAAAAAGATGTTTAGCGATGTGCCAACTGCTGGTCTGCTTGTAAGAATGCATGAAGGACAGACTCAGGAGAAAATTGCTTTTGATGTTTGATATACATTTTTCTCTTTCATTTTTTAGTCTCTTAATTCAGTGACAGGCAGATTTCTGATTGATTTTTTTTCAGCTTCACATTGTTACCGTTGCTGCTTCTACTGAATGCCGCTGTTGATAGCAGAACATCACCCTGCATTGATTCTAACGTGATGCCACAGACAGTGAGTGATATCGTGATGGAAGATGCTCTTCATTGTCTAGAGGAACTTCTGAAGAAGTGTTGTTTAGGGTCCGTGGATCAGGTATTTAGACTTTCTGTTTAAGTGCAGTAGCTGCATTTCCTATGATTAGTGATAATTTAAGAAAATTTTTGCTACCTTTCATGCCGGGCCATGCTTTTAGCATTATTTCTGAGCTTGACAAACCTTTGGTTATAACGTCAATTCGAAATTCGCACTACCAATAGTAGATAAACTTTTATCTTCTTTCGAGAAGTACCAGTAATGGATGAACTATGTTGAGGGTTCACAATCTCCTTTGTCTAAGATTTTAACACTTGGGTTTGATAACCTACCTGTGCAGTATTAAAAAATATAGCCGTTGACGTTTGATTGGTACTGTTCTCAAGAATCCATAATTTGCTTTTGCAGTTCATTGAACTAACAAAGAAATTGAGTCGCGGGGCGTCGCTTCCTCCTCTGGAGGCTTCAGAAGAGTTCCGTGAAGGAGTGATAAGGTGTTTCAAAGCACTGTTGCTTAATCTGCGTTGCTGTTCCAGTGAGTCCTGCTCATGCAAACAAATCAGTGGTTGTCCTTTGCTTCTGGAAAGAAAAAATTTGCATTCTCCACCTGTCTCAAAACTTAAATTCAAGGATGAAGAGTGTTTAATTGCATTTCTACAGTCTGAAACTGCTTCAGTTGCTGTTGGAAATTGGCTATCACTTCTGCTGAAGGTATAAATTTAGTCACCTCAAGGAAAATATATTTCCTTAGCCATTCTTCATAGTATTTCTCTAGTATTACTTTTGAGAGTATTTATGGCTTTCTCAGGCAGCAGATGCTGAGGCAGCACGGGGGCAGCAAGGCAGCGCAAGCCTTCGGATAGAAGCTTTTTCTACTCTGAGAATACTTGTTGCTAAGGTTCCTTTTTTCTCCTTTCCGAGCTGCTTTTCCTCTCTTGTAAGCTGTATTATTGGCTTTTCGAATTCTCAGTTATTCCTTCATAGGTTCAGTGGAGTTTACTCATGCGAGACCATACCTTTAACATGATTTAACTTCTTTACTCCATTTAATGCTAGAATTTTTCCCTAAAATGACTGAGAAGTCGTCAAGCAAAGTAGAAATACATGAAAATTATGATTAAGATGTAGACAAGGTGTCTCTGCTCTTCGTGATACAATAGTATATCTCCAGGTGTTGTTTATCAAAATATACATGTTCATTGCCTAGAATCTTGTCAGATGGTTGTTAATTTTACTACTATCAGTTTGTTATTCTAGTGCTCAGTCCTAGGCAGCATTGCTGTCCAGGTTCATATAAGTCACATCTTTACGATTTTATATGATGTCTGGCAGGTTGGCACTGCAGATGCTTTAGCCTTTTTTTTGCCTGGAGTTGTTAGTCAAATTGGCAAAGTTTTGCATATGTCGAAAACGTTCATTAGTGGGGCTGCTGGGAATGCAGAAGCTTTGGACCAAGCGATTAGAAGCTTGGCAGAATTTCTTATGATAGTTCTCGATGATGATTCTAACTTGCCTTGTCTTGATCCATCCCTTGACGATGTCAAGAAAGAGAAATCACCAATGGCGTTTCTGGAGGCACTTCGTCATTTGCCCTCTACTATGCATGATCAAAATTTGAGTGAGGCTGTTGACAGAGGCACCCTTGTACTTAGCTCTACAGAGAGGGAAAGTGTCATACCTAGAAATGTGAATGGATCTTTGCGTGTAATTCGTACAAAAGACTGGATTGTTGATACCTCGTCGCATGTTGATAAGCTGTTATGCGCAACTTATCCCCATGTAGGTTATAACAAGTTTCTCACTGGCACTTGAGTTTAGAAGATTTTTTATCAAGTCAATTTAAATTGATAGTTCCATGTTTTTTGACAAACAGTTTAAATTAATAATTGCATTTGTGTTCTCAGCTTTGCATGCATCCAAGCAGAAAAGTAAGACAAGGACTCTTGGCGGCAATACAGGGACTCTTATTAAAAACCAGTTGTGTGTTGAAGGGAAGCAGATTGATACTTTTGGTGAGGTCCAAACTGGAACTTATATCCTATAATATTTGTATATCTAATAGTTAATGTACAATGGGATTTGATCAGCCCAAGAAAGATTTCTCTTTCATAACAAGTTTCCTTTTCTCTTTCCTTATTCCACTTTTTTATTTTAAATTGTGTCAGACACTAAGATGCTCTATGTCTGCTCGAACTCTCGGAGTAGCATTGATTTTGAATTGTAGCTTAAATAGTGGGTCAATGTAGGTAGAGAGATCTCCTTTTGATAAGTTCAACATTTATGAGAATAGACATAGGATCAATGGGCTTTCGAGTAGTGAAGGGAAAACTTTCCTCTTAAGAGAAGTATACCATTTTCAAACAGAAAAACAAAAGGAAAGTAAGACTGTCCATTTTGGGATTGAGGGAGTCAAAGTTATTGTGCCTATGGTAGTGCTTTTTTAAATTGCAGTTGCTCCAGCCAAGACTCGGGTGACGACAGTTTTGGGGGGGGGGGGGGGGGGTATTTGGGACCGA